TTCCATCAGGTCTGCCCATTGTCACCAATTCTGTTCACAATTTTTATGGACAGAATTTCTCGGTGCAGCCAGGGGGTCTCAGGRTTTCATCTCTGCTGTTAGCAGATGATGTGGGTCTGTCAGCTCACATTGGAGTAGTTCACAGCTGAGTGTGAAGCAGCTAGGATGAGGATAAGTACACATCCACATCTGAGTCCATGGTCCTCAGTCAGCAAAGGGTGGATTGCTCACGTTGGGGGTGAAGTTCTACCTCAAGTGGAGGAGTTCAAATATCATAATGTTTTGTTCACGGGGAAGGGAAGAATGGAGCGTGATATTGATATACAGATCAGTGCAGCTTCCACAGTTTTGTGTACTCTGTACCAGTCTGTTGTGGTTCAGAGGAGCTGAGCTGTAAGGAGAAGATTTTTGTTTACAGGTCAGCCTACATTCCTACCCTCACCTATGGTCATGATCTCTGGGTAGTCACAGAAAGAACAAGATTGTAGATATAAGTGGTCTAAATGTGTTTCTTCTGCAGGATAGCTGGACTCTCCCTTAGAGATAACTGAACTGAGAAGTTCAGTTCTCCAGGAGAGCCTCAGAGTAGAGCTGCTGCTCCTCCACATCGAGAGGAGCCAGTTGAGGTGGTTCATCTGGGGCCTCATGTATCAACGGTGCGTACGCACAAAAACCTTGCGTACGTCATTATCCACGCAAAACTCCGGATGTATCAAAACTCAACTGAACGTGGAAATATGCGCAGCCCCACGCCAAGTCCTAATGACTAATCTGTGACCTGCCTCCTGATGACAGTACACCATGACACAATAAACTGTTAGGAATGAAAACAAAGGCCCTTTCCCAATCAGTGGCTACACACTCGCCCTACTCCCTACAAACTACACTTACTGTAAAGCACCCTCGCAGCTGAACTGAGTCCCCTTGATGGCGCTGTATATACCCTCCTCTTTTGAGACGGGCTGTCCTCACACCACCGGAACAGGAAGCTGTCGTCACCATGGTAACAGTCCAACCTCTGGCAGCGACTGAATGCAGGAGAACAAACGCTTTTTTAATGTACCAAAGAAAATACTTAACCAGGCCCACATTTTAAAGAGTTTTCAGATATGATTGTATTTTCACAAACACTGTGTGATAACTTGTCAAAATAATAGCACTTTTAACATTTTTTTAAATAATTTATCTTTTCTTTATTTTTTGAATGTTTCATTTCTTTTTTAAATGTGGACCATGGTTATGTGTCTTTAATAAAGTTTTAATTGAATTAAACATGATTTATGTGAAATTATATTTGTTGGTGAGGTGTTTACTTAGTAAATATGTGTACCAAACATATGTGGAACTTATATTTATATGTCCTGTGCTCCATATGACCAGTATTTGGTGCTGCACCTGCTGCTCAAGTCTGCACTGGATGTAGACTTGCTGTGGAGGGCTTAATAAGCCACTCGCCCTTGTACCTAATTGGTTTCAAATGGGACTTAATATGGCCAACCCTCCGCGGGAACGCGCAAACTGAGTGAGTAGGGTGTAGGGCGAGGGTGTAGCCACCAATTGGGAAAGGGCTCAAGTCTCAAGATGGAGGACTCACTTAAGTGCAGTTTTTTTTTTTTAAAAGGTAAAGGTGCTTATATTGGTTATCAGTGTATGTTTCCATACAATGATGAAATTTGTGCTCTGCATTTGACCCATTCACACCCAAGTGGAGCAGCAGGCAGCCATGTAGGCTGCCGGGGGAGCAATTGGGGGTTAGGTGTCTTGCTCAAGGACACCACTGCATGCGGACATGGCGGGGAGCCGAACCTGTGGCTTGTGGGTCCCAAAGCTGGCTGCTCTACCACTACACCATAGCCACACCAAGTTAAAAGTATGATGTCCACAGAAAATAACAACTAAATAAAAAAAGCTGGAGTTTCACAAACAAAACATTCACCTTTGACTGAAAATGTGGTTGTTTGGTTTGAAAATCTGTATTCATACATGTCTGTATAAATGCCATTAACCATCAGTCTGATGGTTAATGTCCCACTGTGAACCCTGACAGAAAGTCCAAAGACTTGTTCCCAGGTAGAAACTCACTACATAACAGTGATCATGGCTGGAGACACTGAGGTGTTCACTGGACCCCTGCGAGGATGGGTTTCAGCAGAAACCAGCTGGTGTTCTTGAACTAATGGAACCTAATTGATGGATTGAGTTGGGCTCAGCACCTCCTCCTGGTTCTCCCTCCAATGAACAATGAGGAGGAGGTTGTTTATGTGTAGAAGGTTTTATGTGGGAGGTTTCAGCTCCTGCAGAGAAATCAGCCAGTAATTCACCAACAGTAAAACAACACAAGGCCGCTTCATTGATTTGTCTTCTAATTGCTGAGACAGCAGGGCTTCTGTTGGCTGTGGATGCAGATTTACATGGCTCCTTTTAAATGTTTTATTTGGTTATGGGTTTTGAGGGTTAATGAAAAACTTTGCAATAAGYTTTGATTTGAGTTAAACTCATCAGGATCAACATGAGCAGAAGAACCGTCAGATTTTACTGAAGTCACTATTATTTTCTGGTTATTGTCTTTCAGCCTTTAATGATTCTGTTGGTTAATTTATTTTAGGTTCAGTGTTTTCTGGTTTCATGGTGAAACAGTTACAATAAGTGGTGTATTGGTTTTCTTATGCAGACAGTTTGTAAAAACTGATCAGAAACATGATGTTGATGTAAAACTCTGACAGGTCAGAGGCAAACGTGGAACAATAAGGGAAGAAAAGGAATAAATGACTCGAATAAAACTAGCTTTGTGATGCATTGGTCTGAACACACACACACACACACACACACACACACACACACACACACACACACAC